TTCGACACAGCACTGACCCACATTGTGTTCACAGAAGAGGGTATTAGAAATAAACTGTCCAGGCTAAAGGTCCATAAGAGTCCCGGACCTGACATGGTGCATCCTAGAGTGCTAAGAGAGCTGTGCAACGAGCTTGCAGAGCCCCTGAAGATCCTGTTTTGTAAATGCCTGGATGAACAAATGGTCCCCAGTGAATGGAAAGTGGCTTATGTGAGTCCTATCTTCAAGAAGGGCGATAGTCACTCCACGAACAACTATAGACCGGTGAGCCTGACCAGCATAATATGTAAAGTACTTGAGAGTATTATCAGAGATGCCGCGATGGAACATCTACTACGAAACAACCTTGTAAAAGATTGCCAACACGGTTTTATGCCGGGGCGCTCTTGCTTAACACAATTGCTCAAGGTATTGGATATTTGGACCCATATTCTGGAACGGGGTGGTAATATCGACAATATTTACCTAGATTTTGCCAAGGCTTTCGACAGTGTACCCCACGAAAGGCTGAAAATCAAACTGGAAGGGTACGGAATTCGGGGAAATGTCCTAGCGTGGATAGAAGACTTTCTACATGACCGCAAGCAGTGTGTGGTGATTAATGGCACGAAATCGTCATCTGTACCTGTAACACGTGGGGTACCACAGGGCAGTGTATTGGGCCCGCTGTTGTTTGTTTGTTTGTTTCATAAATGACATGCCTGACGTACACTCCTCCATACAAATGTTTGTCGATGATGGCAAGTTATTTCGGGAAATTAAGAACCAAGCGGACTGTGAAGATTTGCAGAAGGACCTCTGTGGGCTCCAGGAATGGTCGAAGAAATGGCTGCTGAGATTCAATGTCACGAAGTGTAAGAGGATGCACCTGGGGCGTACCTACGGTAAGGAGGCGTATCATATGTCCCAACGGGATGAAGAAAATGCACTAGTTGAGACTGTGTGTGAGAAGGACCTAGGTGTGTATGTTGACAATGAGCTGAAGTTCTCGGGCCATTGTGAGAAGGTAAATCAGGCAAATAAATTATTGGGTCTTATAAGAAGGTCGTTCAGATATCTAGACGGTCCGTCCCTCGTGACGATCTTCAGGAGTGAAGTGCTTCCCCATCTGGAGTACTGTCACCCCATCTGGTCCCCGAGATATGCTAGGGACTGTCAGTTGGTTGAAAATATTCAAAGGAGGGCCACCAGACTGGTGCCTGCACTTCGGCACCTCAGCTACCCTGAGAGATTGTAGCGCCTGAACTTGCCTAGCTTATACTACAGACGGGCAAGGGGGGGGACCTAGTTGAGGTGTATAAGCATCTCGGGGCACTACTCAGTTGAGTGTCCTTACTTGGAGCTGGCGGGCGCTCGCCCCACAAGGGGTCACAGCTCAAGATTGAAGAAGCCGCAAGTCCAGAAAACCGTGAGGGCAAACTTTTTCGGAGTGAGGTTGTAAACTCTTGGAACAATTTACCAGAGAGTGTTGTGACGGCACCGAGTGTGAGCTCTTTCAAGAGAAGACTTGACCAACACTGGAGCGGGTTCAGGTACATTCAGGAGCCGGTGCATGCCAAGAGCGCGTGACAGAGACGTGACCGATCGCCCGCGCGGCTAGCGATTTACATGAAAAAAAAATTATATATATATATATATATATATATATATATATATATATATATATATATATATATATATATATAATTTCATGTAAATCCACAATGAAAACGTGGATAAGATAAATCTTGATAAAATCACACGGGAAAATGGAAACAACGGAGCACCTTAGCTTTCGTCTTTATTCAAGACATCTTCAGAGGCAACTGGATTACATGGACAGAGAGAGGCTTAAATATACAGGGTGACCTTAAAAACATGAGGTCAGGTCATAATGATGTCATCCACTAATCCCCACACCAACACACACGTAGAGGAGCTTAAGAGAAGGGGGGTGACGTGACTAGTCAGGTCAGGTCAAAAATAAGGGACCCACTAAATAACTATCATACATCTAGATCAAAGGTTTTCAAAACATTTTTAACCTTGGGCCACTGACAAATAAATTTATGTAACATATTATCAGTTTTGAACTGACCATCACTAAGGTTTATTGATTTTAATTCCTTAATCAAACTAGCTTCAACCAGAAGTCTTTCTGTGACACAAGATGATTTAAATACTTCTAAGCTTTTTTCCCAAGCAATGGGATGATTATTATTCCTAACATGAACGAACAAGGCACTGCTTTCAGATGCTGTTCTGATATTATACTTATGTTGTTTGATTCTGAGCTGCAGTGTTTTTCCTGTCTGTCCTACATAATTACAATTACATTTGCTACATGGAATACAATAAACACTTCCATTTACATTCAAACTTGGGCTATTCCTTATTAACATATTGGTAATGGTTGAGTCATACTTGAAAACAACATTAATATTTAGAAGCTTGAGGGAACGAACTAACGGGACAAATTCATTACGATAGGGCAGTCAAAATATTCTTAAGTGTAGGAACTTAATGTTTTTAAGGTCACCCTGTATATTTAAGCCTCTCTCTGTCCATGTAATCCAGTTGCCTCTGAAGATGTCTTGAATAAAGACGAAAGCTAAGGTACTCCGTTGTTTCCATTTTCCCGTGTGATTTTATCAAGATATATATATATATATATATATATATATATATATATATATATATATATATATATATATATATATATATATATCATGGTTTTAGTTTTTCGTGGTGGTGTAAGAGTGGATTATATTATATAAAGATTATAATATGTTGTGTTTATTTCTTACTGTAGAATTCGATACCTTCACACTGGTTACTTACAGGAGATTATGGCGTATCTACATAGAAGTTCACTCGACATTCCATGATTTATACTTGATAAATGATGATTTAATGGATTCCATTAATTTCCAACATCCATCTAAGTTATTGGTTATACTTTGTCATAACCAATCAGTCATTACCTTTAGTAATAATAAGAAAGGATCACACATACGGGCAGATAATTGAACTTACATTTATTTGTCAAGCTTCCATACAATGATTTACAATTTGCATGGATATATGATTCACTCACGTTCACGCTGTAAAAAAATTAATCTTCTAAAAGAGGAAATTTTCAACTCGGGAACGCGTGTGATTACTCTACTATGGGTATGACTTCACAGAGCCTTAATTCTTCAAGTGATACATTTACTGTCAGCCTGGATTGCTTTTGTTGCAACCAGGCTTCCACACAAGAACTTCTTTCCACGGGAATAACAACAAAAAGATACTCTTGGGTTACCACACATAGTCTCGCGTCACTGACAGTCACTGTAGACAGTTGTCGCGGCAAGGAGAACTGGTAAGCATGACTTGAATTAACCATTTAGGTGCAATAGACCAGCCTGGATTGCTCTTGTTGCAACCAGGCATCCACACGTGATATTTCCACGGGGATAACAACCTAGGTTAATACGCTTAGTCTTGTGTCGACGACGGTCCACAGGACAGGGTGGCGGTGGAGGACTCTTGTGTGGTGTGGTGTGGTGTCCCGTTCCCTTCAGGAGGGAGGAGGTGGACGTCTTGACTAACCCATGGCCAAGGGGATACTACTTAATATGAGTTTTTTGGTGTGAGGCGATGAACAGTACAACACTGTCTCACTGCCCCCCCATATAGGCTGGCTAACATACTACTAATGAAAAATATATGTCCCAGTTATGCCTCGCCGGGTGCCTTATCTCTTGTAAAACAAACCTTGGAATTGGTTGCGTGGGTAAGCCTAACGCAACCCATGACACATATATTTCATTTAGTCCATATAGCACGCGGAGTTTCAACATATAATCAACGACCTTGTGGGATTTCGTGATGTTGGTTCACACTCAGGATGGGTTGGAGAAAGGAAACTCACAATGTGCTCTCTGTATATGTATTGTATTGGATGTACAGTGCAGCTTGGTGCTGGGAAGTTGCAGCGTGGTTACAAGAGTGGAGTAGAGAGAGCTGGTTGGTGAGGCACGTATACTGCCAGATCTGGGGTCACTAATTCTAAGGGGGAAAACTTAACTATAGTCTTAATTTTAAGGGTTGCTGCCACCAGACCCCCTCTGGGCAGTATGTAGCTCGCTATGTAGCGGGCAGAGTGGACTTGACATTGAGTTAGGGTTTTCATTGACCAGATTGATAAGGGGAAAGAAGGGTGAAACCATAACATGTCTTAATTAATTTATTCCTTATAAAACATACTGGTAAAAAAACATACAAGTGAATTGGCCTTCATCAGAAGAACAACGAAAATGTTGGTACCCTGCTCGGCACCAGACGTCTTACATTAATTGCGTGTCATCCACATACTTATTGCATAACAATCCGTGACCTCCTTACCTCGGTCATTCCTTCTTACACTACCCCTTAACACGTCAGACTGCTCCACCTGTATGGAATATAGCACCGTAGGTTATCATACACAGTAACACCATCTCACCTCCCTGTAGCACCATCTCAACACACCTGTTATACTCCACACCTGCAAGTATGGGACTCCTTGTAATTTCTAGGTATACATAACAGGCACCACGTTCGCACACCGCCCTCTGTGGGTAGAGACGAGGGCTCCACCAAGAGACATACCAGTACTATTTCTACGCCTGGTATTATAGGTCGCTCCAAGTGACGACCGCGGCGTTTCTCATGGTCCTTATTTGTTCCTACTCATTTGGGGTGGTGTGCTGGGAATCCACAGGTTCACAGTGGATTGGCATAGCTGGGAGTAGTCACCACCTGGTGAGGTCGTTCATTATATGTTCAAAGTCCGCGTGTTATATATACAGTATATACATATATATATATATATATATATATATATATATATATATATATATATATATATATATATATATATATATATATATACACAAGTATATATATACCGATCAGTGGTGAAGAGGATAAAAGTAAGTACAAAAAAGGTCGCACTACACCTGCTGAGGGCTTGAGAATATTCTGTCAGTATGAACAACGACAATACTGTATTGTTTTGCTACTGAATGTTAAATTTACTAATTATAAATCTAGTTTATCGACTTAGTTGTAAATTTGCACAATTTAGATGATGTTTAGCTTGCCACCATAAATACTATTGGTTGTATGGAAGATTTTTTAGGTTATGGTAGATTGTCCTGGGATAAACAGCAGCAACAGCTGGGGTCCACGACAGCAGCTGAGCCTCTCCACAAGTGTCAACCTCTCGAGCTGGTGAGCCCTTCCTAGCTACGTTTATTACTCCCGTGAAGTGATGATCACAGGTGATACACAAGTGTCCAGTTGTTGATTCACTGCCACACATGCTGGTATATCGTGCTCAGATGAGTTGGCATCGAGTTGATACAATACTTTATAAATTGTGTTATTTAGTAATGAGCTGCCAGTGCCCAAGTCCAAACTAGCATTCTTTGGTAATAGTATTCCAAATTTTCTTCTACATATCCAAAATGGAACATTGATACTCATAATATTTGTATACTGTTTTATATCGTTGTAATTGTGACAAATTTATGATCAATGGCAGTGCCAGCTTTTACAGGTGACACTGTAGTCTACCCTCATACACATTACAAGATGAACCTGGGAGCCACAATAAAAGTTAATAAGTTTGGTGTTGGCATCATATTCACGGCGGTGGTGATGGTGGCCGTGATATACAGATACGGAAGTTCAACCAATCTGGAAAGAAGTGCGTCGTCTATGGTGAGCTTAAGGGACCTGTTATCGGCTGCCATAGATTCAGCTCAGCGAGGTGGAAAAATAGTGAGTATATTTTCATAGTGGATATTTTGCCATGACCGGCTAAGTTCCTAATAATGCTATGCTCCGATTGATTACGTACTTTCTGTTTAATATGACGGGGGTCTGTCCCATGGTAAGGACGTTAGGTAAGGTTAAGTAGGTTTCTTTGGTTGGTTAGGTTAGGTTCTAGTAAACTCACATCTTTTATAATGATAAGAACATCTGGGGAAAAAATGAAAAAAATGGGTAAATTTGCATAAGTGCACACAACTCTGTTAGAAAGTAAAAAATATGTTTTTCTAGTGTATTTAGATAGGTTATGACCTTCATTTCCGTCGGAAATTGGATGTTTTTTTTTATCTTTTTTTTTTGGGTGCGGCATTTTCCGACAAAAATTATGGCTAAGCGAATACAAAATACAAAAAAAAAAAAAACGCTAGAAAAATATAAATCTTACTTAACCTAACGGACTCTCACCATATGAGTTGGAATCACTTATTTCTTACCTTATTGGCTGTCTCTTCTTTGTTTGGGATAAGGGACGAGTTGCTACAATGCCACATATGTTGGTCTTGACGATATTTACATTCGTTCTTGCACTTAGGACACTTTACTGAGGTCGGGAGAACACCATGAGATCGAAAAATTTTTTATAGTTTCTTCATTTTTTCGCTAAAACTCGCAATCAGCTCCATATAATTAAAGTGACACCCATCGCAGATTTCCATCGTCGGAAATTAATCGGAATTTCAAAATATGAGACCCAAATAAAAATTGAAAAAGATTGGGCCAAAAATACAGCGAATTAAACCACAAATCATTTTAATTGGTTGCCCCCCCCAAAAAACGCTTTTGACTGGCCTCGTGACGTGTATGGGAACGCATGCGCTTGATGATTTATGAAGGAGACACGCAGTGTGGGAGGTGAGGTAGGCGATAATGGCGGAAGATTAATGGAAGAAAATAGAGAAAATTTTGGATACTCTATCTCCGTTATTATACATTTGTGGAAGTAATGTAATAGAAGAAATTATCTTATAATTAGACGTCTTATTCGAATATGATAATAGATTAGGGGTAGGAATGTTGTGTGTGAAAATGCAATAATACCCCAAATAGAACAACTTCTAGTGGTAGTGGTGTTCTTAGACATTACTGTACAGGTACCTTATTTTTAAACCTTTTTACGAGTTAGGTAAAGTTTTCAAAGGCTTGTTTTGTGTACTTTTTAGTATTTTAACCCACATTTTCCCTCTACTGCCCACTTTGAATAACCAATATTGATGATTATTGAGGAGTCTTATCGGTGAAAATACTCAAAAAATTTAAATTTGTGCCAGAAACGTAGTAGAATATATATATATATATATATATATATATATATATATATATATATATATATATATATATATATATATATATATATATATATATATATATATATATATATATATATATATATGCTGGTTATCAGCATATACCTAGATCATGTGCACCTGCAGTGATTTGCATATATATATATATATATATATATATATATATATATATATATATATATATATATATATATATATATATATATATATATATATATATATATATATATATATATATATATATATATATATATATATATATATATATATATATATATATATATATATATATATATATATATATATATATATATATATATATATAGTGAACCCTCACATTACACGGTCAATTGAACCCACGGCGGCCCGCGTAAAGCGAGAAACGCATAAAGTGAACAACATAACATATGGGATTAATTGAAATAGAGACCGGGCCGACCCCTAAACTCCACTTTTTCCCGTCACAATACGTACGTTTTAGTAAAAATAACATCTTAACTTTATGATGGTATTCACACACACATAATATAGAAGGGAACAATCAAAAAGAGAATAATATACTGTAGGTTAGGTTAGAAAAAAACAAGGTTAGGGTTAACACTTATGTTAGTAGAAGAGATGGGTCGGCGTACGGGAATGGAGGCTGGTTCCGAGGCAGAGGGCAGGCTACTGGCCCTCAGGTGAGTCTTCATCACTGTCATCCACACTCATTAGTGCCTCCCTGACAAATCCCTCAAAGTCATCATTACTGTCTCTGTCACTATCACTGGCTTGGGCTGGCTGTGGTGGGTTGCGGGCGAAGAACTCGGTAATGCTTTGCTGACGGCTGGTGTTGATGTTGTCGTGATACACCTTGATGTAGGGCTCCATAGTCTGCAACAGCTGGGTAGTGAAGACTTCATACCGGTTATCGTCAGGGTCGTCGGAAAGGAGGAGCTTGAGTTTCTCAACACACTCAATGGCACCCCTTACATTACTATGCGATAACTTGCGTTCTTCTTGGGATGACGCACCACCTGCCTCTTCACTGATGTCATCATCATCTGGCATCTCGTCGGCAGTCACATCAGGATCCCTTATCACCTCCAGGATGTCGTCGTTGGTGGTCTCGGAGAAGCCTGCAGCTGTAACACTCTGCGCAGCTTCTCTGGCAAGGTCCACTGCTACTGCAACAGTCTGAACCTCACCAGTTACAGATTTACTCTGCCTCCCACCTGGAATACCTTGCAACACGTCTCCATGCGTGACGAACAGTTGCTACAGACAACTGATCCCATGCCTCCACCTAGAAGTCCACAGCTTTCATAACGTTTGAATTTTCTCCAAAATTCTTTCACAAGTACTTATTGCTCTGCCAACTGTTGTTCCTCGTTGTCTTTGCTCTTGCTATCGGTGTCACCCAGGTTACACATTTCATCCTTGGTGTTGGTGTAGTCGTTCAGGAGCTTAAATTTCTTGGCAGAGAATGCAGCTTTCACATTACAGATCAATTCTTGGTCCATGGGCTGTGTTGGGAGGAAGGAAGACCACTTTTACGTTGGGGTGACGATCTAACAGGGGCGAGTGTCCTGGTGCGTTGTCAAGCAGCAACAAAATCTTGAATGGAACATTGTGTTGCTCACAGAATTTCTTCACGTCAGGAACGAAACAGTCATCAAACCAGGAGAGGGACAGAGTAGAGAACATCCATGCCTTATGTGTGGTCAGCCAGTGGACATTTAGCTTGGTCATGTCCATGCTCTATAAGCGTGCGGCTTGCATGCTGTATGGATCACCGATAACTTGAGCTTACAGGTACCGGAGGCATTGGTGGTAAACAGGAGGGTGATGCGCTCCTTCTGCAACTTCCGGACCCGACACTTGCTGGCATTCTTCACAACAAAGGTCTTGGAAGGTAGCTTTTTCCAAAAAAGACCAGATTCGTCCATGTTAAACACCTGGTCGTCGGTGTACTGTCCTTCCTCCATAATCTCACGTAAAAACAGAGGAAATTCCCTAACCGCAACATGGTCAGCACTAGCTTCTTCACCACCAATGTTAATGTTGGTGATCTTGTTCCTCTTCTTAAATCTCTGCAACCACCCAGAGGAAGCATTAAAGGGTTTGGGCTCTGCAATTCCCATCTTACGTGACACTGCAGCATACAGTTCACGTGCGTACTCCTTAACTGAGCGTGTGTCCACCGCCATGTTCCGTCGCGCCTGACGAATCAAGTAGCTCACAAGTAATTTCTCCATCTTGAGAAGCACCTGGTTGTGGCCATACTTGATCATAGAAGCACCTGTAGACTTTGTGATGTTCATGTGCTTCTTTATCTTGGCTGCATCCTTCTTAATTGTTCTGATCGTAGACTCGTTAACACCATGCTGGCGCTCGAGATCAACCTGTCTTGTTCCTTTCTCCAACTCTTGGATGATCTTGTATTTAATTTCGTAGCTTAAAGAACGTCGTATCTTCTTTGGCTTAGGGCGGCTATATCCAGGTAATGCAAGGTTTCTTTGTGGTGGTGGTCCGGTGGAAGCCATTCTTATGGAACAATGGATCCCGATATACACGGTGTAGCCGGGAGGGGTGTAACTGACGCGGGTAGGTCAAGGGGCATGAACGCTCCCGCGGCGGGGCACGTCATAGTACATTAAACCAATCACAGCTAGCGGAGGAGGGAGGTAAGGATGCTGGTCCAATCACAGTCCAATACGTCATATGACGTCACCGATAACGCAACAAAGACATGCACTGCGCAACCTACTCACGCCTCTTACCCAACATGGCGGGATGGCGGGAGGTTTGAATCCAAAAATGGCCGCTCTCCGCATAAAAGGGTACACATCACGTAAAGTGAGCATTCCGTGTTCGGCAGGGTACCGCGTAAACGTGGAAACGCGTAAAGTGAAACCGCGTAAAGCGGCGTTTTACCGTGTGTGTATATATATATATATATATATATATATATATATATATATATATATATATATATATATATATATATATATATATATATATATATATATATATATACATATAGTATATATATATATATATATATATATATATATACACAATACATACACACAGTCAACCCTCACTTACGTCCCACATTCTATGCTTACGCTTACGTGCCCTGCCAGAACCCAGGATGCTCACATTCCGCGGTGGGTGTACCCTTACACGGTGAAGTATAATTTTTATATAGCTCATAAAATTCATACAAATTATCCGCCAGAATATAATTTACATTGCTGGAATTCTTACAATTGATGATCATTTTGAATATAAACATCATAGATTTTGCATTAGACATACAAATTTTAGATATAATGTTTACTCTTGAGTAAATATGTTATCTTTGTGCAAAATATATGATATTTATATTCAAAATATTCCTGGTCTTACAAGAATCCAGCAATGTCAATTATATTATCCTAACTTTAGTCTGATTTATTATTTATTACTAAAAAGGTAAACAGTCTGGTATTCCCACACATTTATCTAGTAGGGACGTTGGTGGGGCTGGGAGGACCGCAACCGACCATCTGTTACCGTAGAAGAATATTTTTTTTATTAACTGAAGATTTTATTTTAGCTCATAAAATTCATACAAATTACCCGCCAGAATATAATTTACATTGCTGGAATTTTACAATT